TCTCAACGAAAATATGTGTTGGATTTATTGACTGAAACAGGAATGCTATCTTGCAAACCAACAGAAACACCGATGGAGATTAACCATCAACTTGAAATATCTTCGAACCAAAATTTGGTAGATGTGAGTCGTTATCAGAGGTTAGTCGGAAAGTTGATCTATCTAACTCACACTAGGCCAGACATTGCTTACGCCGTGAATATAGTAAGTCAATTTATGAAAGCTCCAAATGAAGATCATATGAATGCAGTTTATAGAATCTTGAGATATTTAAAAGGTGCTCGAGGAAAGGGGTTATTATACTCAAATAATGAAGCGCCTACCATTGAAGGCTATACCGACGCTGATTGGGCAGGAGACAAATCAGACCGAAGATCTATCTCAGGTTATCTTACATTCGTAGAAGGTAATCTGGTTACTTGGAGGAGTAAAAAACAGAAGGTTGTTGCTCGTTCTAGTGCAGAAGCGGAGTTCCGAAGTATGGCGCATGGTTTATGCGAGATATTATGGATTAAAGAAGTTTTAAAGGACCTTAGTGTTGATTGTTCACAACCTGTGAATTTATTTTGTGATAATAAAGCTGCAATTCAAATTGCAAAGAATCCAGTACAACATGATCGCACTAAGCATGTGGAAATTGATCGATTTTTTATTAGAGAAAAACTTGATAAGAAGATCATTCAATTTCCATTCGTCAAGTCCGAAAGTCAGCTTGCAGGTGTTTTTACAAAGACTGTTTCGGGTAGAACTTTTCATGCAATGATTGACAAGTTGGGCATGATAGAAATCTATGCACCAACTTGAAGGGGAGTGTTGGCAAGAAAGATTTCATCGATCTTGAAGATTGTAGCGGATCACAATGATAGGAATTTACAGTTATTGAGAATATTTAGTTACTATAAATATGTAAACTACCTAGAATAAGATATACGATTCTTATAGCAAATACATGTATATATATTTACCTCATGAAGAGAAGAAATATGAATTCCTCGAATATTGAGTTTCTACATTCTTCACCGATGCTAGAGCCGAGATATTCGTTGTCGAGAGTCGTTTTGACATTCAAGGCACGTCTCGCACCCCGCGCACGTAGCGAACGAGGCAACAGGGGACGGATCGCGCCAGTCAACTTCCTTGTGCCTCGCGGGTTTACTAGCCAGTAGATTAGCACACACGTCAGACTCCTTGGTCCGTGTTTCAAGACGGATCGAATGGGGAGTTCGTTGACCAGTACCAGAAGCGCACAGTTGTCGAGGCACGACCATGGCCTAGCATCGATGGGCAACGAGGGCCTGTGCCGTGCCCCCAGTGGCAGGGAAGATACTAGGATGGCTTGGGCAACCATCCAACCGGTGGCGGCAGCCGGCTGGAAATTTTTCGGAAGCAAAAAAAAATGACTCGATTTACAAGATATTTGGCGCTGTTTTTGTGCATCTTTTGATTATTTTAATGATTTACAAGAAAATTATGTATGTGCAAATACACTACAACAAATAATCAAATATCTTTTAGAGTGGCAGCAAGCATCTGTACTCAAATAATATTGGGAAAAAAAAACACTTAACAGTTTACATTTCAATTAAATTTTCCACAATATTGCCATCATAGCTTATTAATGTGGTGACAAAATACAAAATTTTGTCACATATATAATATAAGCATTACATTTTTTTGTATAGTGCAAATCCTAATTAATTTACCTCATCAGCAAACAATTAAATTTTGTTCATTTCCTGTATACTTATTGCATTAATATTTTATCAATTATTACAGCCATCTTTACAATTTAACTAGCTGTGTTTTACACGGCGAATATAGTTAACAGCGATCCGTAAACCGTACTCCGAAATTTTGCCGTATAAAGAATATCCATCTCATGTACTACTACTAACTATAACAATTCCAGATATAACAATAATATGAACAGCAGAACATATACATAATACATTCCACAACAGAAAAAAAAAAATTCATTTGCCCACGAAATCTCGACGCCAATATTTCGACAAAAATATAAAATCCCATATAATCTTCGATCGATCTTCATCATGCAAAGGTATTGATTTCCATGCAAATTCTTGGCAAATCAGCAGTCCTTACTCGTTAAAGTACCTTAGTTGCGATGTCTGTTCGACCTTATAACCAGTTCCGAAAAAACCGCAGATTTTTTCAAGTTTTACGTATAATCTAAATAATTAATTAATTAATTAATTACTAATCAACGAAAAAGAATTATAGAAGGAACTCCAGAAGAGTAGGTGTTTGCACGTGAGGAGTTTGGTCCCCCCCTTCTCTTAACAGGCTGTTAATTAAACATGCATGCCCTAATTAATCATGTACTTACACAGATCCCTATACAATTAATATTAATTAAAATTTAAAAAAAAAAACTAAAAACTAAAATGAAATTAAACTGATATATGTCCAGATTCTTGCCTATATATATAACTGACAAAAATATATATATCTTTCAATATTGAAGGAAGGGATTTCCATTTCCCAATAAAAAGGTAGGTTATTTTGTTTTTTTTTATATATTTATTTTTGTCTTTTATGATCATGAAATAATACCCCCATTCTTTTGATCATATATATCTTTGTTTAGTAAACAAATATTAATTAATAGAGTAAAAAGCAGTTTACCCCCTAAATTAAGACCGGTTTTGCGCTTTGCCCCCCAAACAATTTTTTTTTGCAAAATTTTACCCGAACTCGATATTTTGTTGCACGGTGGCTATTTTCAGGCAAGATCCACCGAAATCTGAAACATGTGCAGATCACGTGATTTTGAAAGGGGCAAAGTAGTCTCTTCACTTATTTTTTCCTCTCAACCATAACCCTTCGTGCTTTCCCCCAATTCTTTCTTAAATTCTTTCACATTTCCAGTCTCACTCAATGGATTGAAATTCAGATTTTTGTTGTCTTCCTAAAATCTCGATGTGCAGATTTCGTTTCTCTTATTCTTTATCATTCAAATTGAAACCTAAATAATTTTATAAAACCTAAATAATTTTATAAAACCTAAACATAAAAAAAAAAAAAAAAAAAAAAAATTCTCTGAAACAGCCGCATCAATTTGTTTGGTGGGCAAAATTACAAATTCTAAAGAATGGGTCAGAGTTGAAAGAAGAAGAAGACGAAGGAGCGGGGAAGAGGGAGGACGCTGAGATCGAATCAGTGGATTTTTCGGCTAGAATTTCAGAATTATTAGCGGCAATTGAGTTATGAGCGTGCCGCATTTTCTTATTTTTCTTGGAAACCACACTGCCTCGACCACTCTGTTTCCACCACCACCACCACCATTTATGACCTCTTTAACCTCTTCCTTTGTGGAGAGATAAAGCTTCAAGTTCAATTTTCCTGCCTCGTCCTCAAGCCCACGGACACACACAAAAGGTTGAGAAGAAGAAGAAAAATGGTGGTAAAAATTTAAGAAATCCGCTTGAATTTTGAAGGGCAATAACTAAACTAAGAAAAAATGGTGGAAAGAACAAAGTTTGGCATTTTTTGTGGCCGACGGGATGGTGGCAGGCTGGCAGCTGTCGTTTCTTTTGTTTTTTTTCTTTTTTTCTTTTTTTTTTTAAATTTTATCTTTTAATGATTAGTTTATATTAATATATATATGATATAAAATAATGGACAAATTTATCCCTACAAGTTTCACGTGCAATGCACATGATTTCCCATTCCGGTCAAAATTGCCGGAATATTCCTTTTAGGAGGATTCGTGGAATGAATTTATGAGTTTAGATTTAAACGATTAAATTTTTCTTTTATGTAGAGTTAAACTTTAGATTATGATAAATATTAGTCAAGCAAACTGCTTGTTACTCTAATTAATATTAGATTAAATATATATATGGGGAAGAAGCTTCTGAAGAACATAATATACTATAAATCCTAGCTAGCTAATTAAATATTGATAATGAATAAAAATTAAAATGAAGTGCATGCAGGCAAGAACTATGTTTCAAGATTAATCTATTGAGTAAAAAGCAGTTTGCCCCCTAAATTAAAGTCCGTTTTGCACTTTGCCCCCCAAACAAAAAAAATTTGCACGTTTTTACCTGAACTCGTTAATTCATTGCACGGTGCCTCCTAAAAGGAATATTCCGGCAATTTTGACGGAAATATGACAACACGTGCATTGCACATGAGATTTGCAGGGGCAAATTGGTACCTTCCCTTACATTATATATTTTAATATTTAAAACAAAATAATAATAATAAACAAAAAAAAAAAAAGAAAAAAAAAAGAAAAAGAAAAAAAAATGAGTTGTCGTCTACTCATCCCGTCGACCACCATAGCACCACCCTCCCAAATCTAACCCATCCCATCCCCACTAAAAATTTCATCAATTTTTCGTCCTGCTCCTCTTGATAATGGAGTGACGTCGAGTAGTAACAAATCTTGAACTTTCTCATCGTCTTCTCCGGTGAGGATCGCCGCCTGGACTGCCGCCCCGTAAGCCACCGCCTCGTCGGGGTTTATGCTCTTGCAGAGCTCTTTGCCATTGAAGAAGTCTTGCAGAGATGTTGGACTTTCGGGATTCGGGTGGAGCCGCCGACGAGAACCACCTCGTGCACCGTGGATTTATCGATTTTCGCGTCCCGAAAGCACTTTTCGACGGGCTCCATACATAGTTCTTCGAATCTCGCTCTGGTTATGGTGGCGTAGAAATGGATCCCTTTGAATAACGAATCGACTTCGATTTTCGTTTGCGTGGCGGAGGAGAGGGTTCTTTTCGCTCTTTCGCCGGAATTCGGAGACGAAGTGGTTGACCAGGCGGTTGTCGAAGTCTTCGCCGCCGAGGTGAGTGTCGCCGGCGGTGGCTTTCACTTGGAATTATATGCCTTCTTCTATGGTGAGTAATGAAACCTCGAAAGTGCCGCCGCCTAAATCGAAGACGAGGATGTTCAGCTCGGCGGATCGGGAGCTTTTCTTGTCCAGGCCGTAGGCAATGGCGGCGGCGGTGGTTTTGGTACTTTTGTTTTTCTTTTTTTATTTTTTTTTGTTTTTTAAGTGAATGGACGAATATACCCCTGCAAATGTCACGTGCAAGGCACATGTTTTAACTTTTCCGTCAAAATTGCCGGAAAATTGAGTTCAGGTGGCATCGTGCAACGAATTAACGAGTTCAGGTAAAAACGTGTAAATTTTTTTTGTTTGGGGGGTAAAGTGCAAAACGGGCTATAGTTTAGGATGCAAACTGCTTTTTACTCTAATCTATTTATAGAAATGCATATTATATTAAGAAAATGGAAAATATTATTAATTAAAATAAAAAACTAGGGTTTCATTCTTCGATGGGTTGTGTTTTTTAAGGTCGAACAGACAACGAAGCAAAGGTTAAACCGCAAGGAAGACTGCTCACTTGACAAGGACAGCATTGAAACCACTCACCTCATTCAATTCTATCTCCGACAAACATATACATACACATATATCTGTATGTATATGCATGTATCTACATCCCTTTCGCCGCGCCGCCGCCTATCACCGTACCATCTGAACTTATGCCCTCATTATAATAATAATAATAATAATAATAATAATATAAAAACTAAAGCTTCATTATTTTGTTGGAAGAAGAAGAAGAAGAAGCAGGTAAGGAAAAAAAATATAGATGTACATGAAATTTATAAAGTTCTTTTTCTTGAAATAAATTAATTATTTTTAGAGAGAGAGAGAAAAAAAAACACACAAACACACTAGCTCGCACGTGTGAAATTTTGGTTTGACTGACGGATGAGATTTGATCTCAGTGCATTCCCAATGTCCAACAACCAATATAATTATTATTCAATGACAAATTTATGATAAAATATTGAGAATTAATTCACAATTAATGATCATGTGTTGCAAATCACTAAAGTGTATATTTTATTTCTTTTTTTTTTATCAGTAAATTGTATATTTTATTTCATTATAATTTATATATATGATATCGTTAACAATATAATTGCTGTGTGTGTATATCTATATATAAATATATTAAAACAAAAATAAAATACTAATTAAATTAAATTAATTAGGAGACTGAGAAAGAAAAAAATAGTAAGTGATTATATATCTGAGTCTCACCTACAACACACCAAATTTGTCATACAACTGTTTGGTCCCAGCTAGTAGCGATAGAAAACCCGGTACCTTTTTTCTTTTTCTTTTTTTTTTTTTTTTTTTTTTTTTCTTCCTTTCTTTTCTTTTGCTTTTTTTCTTTTTCTTTCTTTTTTCGCTTTTT